CCCGATGGCGCTGGGGATCCAGCGCCCGCCTGTGCTCCGAGCGCAGTGCCTCGGGACGCGGGGAGAGGGCGCTGCCTCCTCCCGCCCGCGAGCTGTTTTCATTCATAACTTTCCCCGGCCGGACCCGTCGCGGCTCCGTGCCCTTGAGGCCTCGGCGCGGGGCCCAAGCGCCCGGCGGTGCTGCCCACAGTGCTGTCTGCGCGCACCGGCTTCTTCCTGGGCGGGTGCGGGGCGCCTAGGTGCTCCGCCAGAGCGAACTTGCTTGGGAATGCCCTGTAAAATGCGAATTAAAGCCATGCCTGGGGGTTTCATTACTCAAGCCATTCCCACGTCTTCCTTTCTTGTGGATGAGACTTGGCACATTTAAAGTCTTCGTTTTGGAGTTTTAAATTTTTTAAAAATAGATAGGGCACGGGAGTAACGATTGGCCGTTTTCCAGTATCGTTCGGCACTAAAGCCTGTTGTCACGTATCTTTCTCGTGTGAGGAGAGGGTAGAATAAACTAGAGGGCCCCCAAGAAGCTAATACATATGTAGTCTGGGAACATTAGTTAGCATCCGTAGCAAGCTGTCTTTGCTTGAGACTTTTTTTTCTATTGGCACTGGGAAATTGCAGAGGGGTGTCGTCTTGAATTAGGCTGCCTCTGTGGGTTTGGAGGACATTTGTGTGAAAAATATCCTACATGCCCACTGCCCAGAAACGGAAACGTTCAGGGTTTGATCTGTTTTAGGAAGAATACGTTATACATTGGAAATTATTTCTTGACGTGGAAATAATGTTCGTTGTCTCAAGATATTAGTATATTTTATCACAAAAAGCAGGTCGATTCAGGGCTTGTTGAAAATCAAGGTCTGCTGTGTAGATGAATGGAAGGAAATAAAGGTAATGCAGAAAGACCAGGGTTCCTCTCCCTGCTTTATAGGCTTGATGCTTGTGCATAAAAGTTATTCTTGTTACGTGAGTGAGCCTTGTTTAACCTTTCAAGAAACTTAAACCCCAGGTTTGTGTGTGTGTGTGTGTGTGTCCCAGTTCCAGGAAGACAGCCAGAGCCGCAGCCTTCTTCATTCCTTGTAGATTCTTTTTCTTATCTCACAGATCGGTGATGAGCTTTAGATCCTGACTCTGCCGAAAACGGCCATTTGAGATTCCACATGAGCTTGGAATATCTTTAGTGTTTTGGAAATTGCCTTGATTAATTTTCTCATTAATCTAAAGCTCTTAACAGCGTACAAATGGCCAAGAGGCCACAGCACTAAAGCCATTCTTAATCTTTGAAAAGTAGCTGACATTTTCCCTACGTGAACTGCCAGTGAACTGATTGTGAACTCTCCGAGAACAGTTCCAGGGTGCACACTGAATGCTCCCTTCGAAGGCATATTTCATTTTAATTATTTGTTAGGTTTGCAAACAGGAAGACATGACTTCCTCTGCTTTTTAGAAGCTGGAGAGCAACTTTTAATTTTTATGGCATGAGGTCTTTTGCTTGCCTGCTTCCTGTGATGTGGTCCTCTACAATCTTTTTTGGAGTTGGACTCCTGCCAGGATTCTGCATCATTGAAATCAGCCGATGGAGGCGATCATTACCAGGTGGTTTGGGCAATTTGTTACTTGACGGGAGCCCCCCTCCCCCAAATGCTTTCTCATTTATTTTCTCTCTCGCCCTTCTTTAGGATTTCCGATGCATGCCAGGTTTCCGCTGACTGCCGGAACTGGAGATCACTCCACATGGATCCCCCAAGTCAGCATGGCAGCCACACTTCGCTAGTGGTGATTCAGCAGCCACCGGCTCTGGAAGGGCGGCACAGAGTCGACTGTGACAGGGACACTCAGCCTGCTGCCATTCTGTCCCTGGACCAGATCAAGGCCATCAGAGGCAGCAATGAATACACAGAGGGGCCTTCAGTGGTGAGAAGACCGCCTCCTCGCACGGCACCAAGACCCGAAAAGCAGGAACGGACTCATGAAATCATACCAGCCAATGTGAACAACAGCTACGAGCACCGACCTGCCAGCCACTCCGCCAATGCCAGGGGCTCGGTGTTGAGCAGGTCGACCAGCACCGGAAGCGCAGCCAGTTCAGGGAGCAGCGGCAGCAGCAGCGCCACTTCTGAGCAGGGCCTGTTGGGAAGGTCTCCGCCCACCAGGCCCATCCCCGGTCATAGGTCAGATAGGGTCATCCGGACCCAACCCAAGCAGCTGCTTGTGGATGACTTGAAGGGTTCCTTGAAAGAGGACCCCACCCAGCACAAGTTCATCTGCGAACAGTGTGGCAAGTGCAAGTGTGGAGAGTGTACAGCCCCTCGGGCTCTGCCCTCCTGCCTGGCCTGCAACCGCCAGTGCCTTTGCTCGGCTGAGAGCATGGTGGAATATGGGACCTGCATGTGCCTGGTCAAGGGCATCTTCTACCACTGCTCCAATGATGACGATGGGGGCTCTTACTCAGATAACCCGTGCTCCTGTTCACAGTCCCACTGCTGTTTCCGATACCTGTGCATGGGAGCTCTGTCTTTGTGCCTCCCCTGCTTGCTCTGCTACCCTCCCGCCAAGGGCTGCCTGAAGCTGTGCAGGGGTTGTTATGACTGGACCCACCGCCCTGGCTGCCGGTGTAGAAACTCCAACACTGTCTATTGTAAGCTGGAGAGCTGTCCCTCCAGGGCTCAGGGCAAGCCGTCATGATTTCTGGAGGTGGATTAGACCTCCCGGATGTCCAGCTTCCAAACTGTGGCTGTTAAGAAACGTGGTATTTCTTCCCGTCGGTCTCTGATGCTCCTCAGTCGGAGTGAACTGTGAAACTGCGCCCAGCTTGCTCCCACCCCACCTCAAGGGTTCTGGGAGCTGGGAGTGCCTCTGGAGCCTTTGTGTGCTGCATCAGCTTTCCCACTGTGTCTGTGAGGATGTATGCACGCCCAGACTTGGCTGAGAGATGTTTGGGGTCGGGTACTGTGGGATCAGGGACTTGGTTTGGTTTATTAAAAAGTAACCATGTAAGTGCTTAAATAAGCTATATATTAATCTGCCTCTGATGAGAGCTATCTTAGCCTCCCATCCCCAAGTCCAATGGGAGGGTCTACTTCTTAGAACACAGTTCGCTCCGCAACAGCTCACTGCCCTCCCCTTCCAGCCCTCGGATTCTCCCCACAATGCACTCTGGAGATGCCAGTGGGTCATCCCTCCTTACCACCCCTTTTTGCTCGTAGTTCTGGATTCACTCTGCAGCGTGGGTCTTCACATTAGAGATGATGTTGGCTAATCCTTGCCCCACCTCTAGCGCCCCGTCTGTGAAGGACTTCCTTCCCTTCCCACCCCCACTTCACCGAGGGCTGTTGCTAACTGTAGTTGAAATTCCTGTCTGATCCGCCCCTGGGCCTCTCAGAGCTACAGCTCCGTAAGGTGCCTTTGGCCTCTGACTGCCCTCTTGACTCTTAACAGCTGGGTATTTCCAATCCTTCCTGTGTTTTCATTGCCTTAACCACAAGTTGTGGTGCTCTTTGTATATTATATGTATAAATCACAAAGTTGAATCCTGGCTATTTTTAAGACAAAAGTCTGTTGAACTTTTTTTATTGTAAAGAATATTTATTATGCGAATCTCTATTATTTTATGATATTTATTGCAAAAGACTGTTGAAATATACTCATGTCTGATTATAACATATCACTACTTCCTGAAAAACAAGGTGACTCGAAGAAAGTACATAAAGTACATATATGTTAACTACAATGCAGAAAATATATCAATTAATGAAACTGTCTCGAGTTCATCGTTTTGTTATTTTTAGCCTGTACTGCTGTGCAAATGGAACTTGATTTAACCTTTTCAGACTTGAAGGTTTCAAAGTCCAGGCACAGGTGCCTTCAAGTTTGAAACGGATTGTTTCCTGCAAAGTCCTTTAGTCAGAATTTTATGGTCTGGATTGCTTCATCAAATACTCAAGTGAGTTACTTTGTAAAGTAAAGGGGTTTGTTTGTTTGTTTGTTTGTTTAAGATTAATGTCCCCGCTTTATTTTGTAAGTATGGGTTTTGTTGATAGTTTCTTGAGATGAAGCAAAACTACGTTTTATATAAAGTGTTTATCTTAACTCTGGCCATTCAGAGATTAGTTTCCAACAGTAGGGCTTAAATGATTTAGTAATGTAAACATGCCAAGAGCCTCTGGAACTGTCATTTTAACAAACTTTCATAATTAGGAATTAGGATTGCCAAAGAAAGCTCATGTGCCAGAGAGCTGTCCAGGAAGCTTCCTGTGGCAGCCTTTCCCTTCGATGGACGCTGCCCAGTTCCGTTCTGTGTTCTGGAAGCCTGAAGCTTCACGTGGGAAAACAAGATTTTGATGCCTTATTACTGGGACTAGTAAAGTGACTATGGACCTGGGGTCGTGAGGTCTGATAGACTTTTGCATCTTAGGTTTTGTTTGTAGTCCTGTCTCATCAGGTCACTGACCTGGTCTGCTTTTGAGAAGAGGATGGTGGTAATTCCATCATCCTGTCATGTGGTTTCTTGTGTGTTCTTCATAGCTAAGCTTTGCTGTTATCAGTCGAGGTGTACTCTGGAGAAACTTGAAGTAGTTTTCTGTTAGGTCACTAAAGCTGCTGCTTGGCATGATACTTTATAGTTAAAATATTTTCTCAGCTCGGCCCCCAAGGGGAAATTTTAAATGAATGTGTTCAAAGACTACTTTGAGATAGGTAGTACTTCAAAATATGAACTTGGGTATTCGTTTCACTGGTGTCTTAGTGTTTAGTCTTTTCCTGAGCTGGAGCTTTGCTGAAGTATGTCAGCAGCAGGCTGCTCAAAGCTCTGGCTCTTTCCGTCCCTGTAAGACTATGTAGTTAGGACCTGGTGGGAATTCCAACTTGAGCTGTAACCAGACTGAGAAGCATTGGCTTAGTCTGAAAGCAGTTGAGACCTTTTTAGGGGAAAGCATGCTGTATGTAAGTAGGGTTTTAGCACCAGCTGTATGCTCTAGGGTTTTAACACCAGCTGTAGATGGCTTGTTGCATGTCTGGAGTTCATTCTCTATAAACGCCAGTCTACTCAGAAGTGGCATAGGTTAGCAGCTGGGCCCTCTTGACAAGTCTGTCAGGTTGGCAAAGCACAGAGCTGACACTTCATAGACCAGACAGCCTCCTCTGTGATGTTGTCTCTTGGTAAGTTCTGGAGGCCTGAGCTTCTGCACCTAACTAACCCTGACCACTGCCCTGAACTTGGTGATGTTGGCGGGGAAGGGCATGCTGGGCACACGGCCCGAGCTTTTCATTCTTACACTTGGCCGTTCTGCTTCAGCAGGAACCCATGGCATGCTGGATGCCTCTTTAAAGAACAAAACGAAAGGCAAACAAAACGCATGTAGCTCAGGCTAGCCTTGAGCTTCTAACCCCCCTGCCTTGCCCCCCAGTGTGCTAGGATCATAGATGTACCAACCACTCATGGTGCTGGCTCAGTATGGAGCAAATGGTTCATTTCTGGTGTATTTTTAAATTTTAAAGACTTACTATTAATATAGTTTAATTGTGAATCGCAGAGGCCATGTGGGATTTCTGAATTGAGTGATTTCCTGTACCAAAGCTTATAAGATGTAACCCCCAGCAGGAAGGGGAAATAGCCAAAGCAGACCAGTTCCGTTCTCTGAGGGCCTAAGGTGAATCTGTAAATATAGACCGCACCATAGAACACTCTAGTTGTGACTTAAAAACAGTGGTCTGTAATGGGAAAGGAAATGAAAGTAATCACCTAGGTTTGTTTTTTTTTTTTATCCTGATTTGGAGTTGAACACAAAAACCCAATTGAAAAATTCTGCTTTCTGAGTCTAGAGGGGAAAAAAAAAATATTTATCAAGAAACATTAAAACAAGAGGCTTTATTTTATTTTGAAATTACCTTTCCATTAAAAAATAAAGTGATGAAGTTTGTGGCAGATTTTATATAAAACTATACAAACCCCGACTCCTTTTGGAACATACAGTTACTGAATCAGAGGTGTCTAGATGAGCCTTCGGCTTCCCCACTGGGCTTTTTTCGGTGTTGTTTTTTAGGTGCATGAGAACATTTAAGCATCTTTTAAACCTAAATTCTTTTGGCTAAGTGATAGTCGAGACCTGTTCTCCACCGTCACTAATTCATGAGTATAGTACAGTTAAAATGCCCATCGATGTACCTGCAGTTACTGTCATAGGCCCTGATTGCCAGGCCGTATTCATGCACAGTAGAAGGTTAAAGCGACAGATGGATCCCGGTGTATACCTCTTCCAAAGGCGATTTCATTTTACTGTGTGTTTGTGGGGGATGGGCAGGGGCATGCTTCAGTGCACAGGGTGGGGTCACCAGGGCACACAGGTTGTCCGTTAAACATTTTAAAACTCATAGGTCTAGGTCGTAGGTCAAGCCTCTTCTGAAGACTCCAGGAAAGGGACCTGCACTGTGTCAAAGGCCTTCTGGGATGACTTTCTCAGGCACTTTTGGAACTGACTCAGGTAGCTGCTATCTTCATTTGACATAAGCAAAGCCCTGGCTCCCGAAGGTACTCGTTTGTGATGTCTGGAGACTGACCAGGACGCTTCCATGCGGTATAGCCTTTTCCCTTCATTTTGCAGCTATCGCCACCTTTACCATCTCTTTCTTTTCATCAGTCTTTGCTTCATAGTTAATATACTTGACTGTGAGTTAAGAAATGGACCCGTCTTCCCCAGGTGTTTGCTCAGGTGTCCAGAACAAGTGACAAATGGCTTTGTTGCCATGGTTATTTTTCATGCGGTAACATTAAAATTAGCTTCAAGCTGAGCCTGTGTTTGTCCTGTTATGGCTTCTGTGGTGATCATAGACCAGACAGGTTCATACGCTGGCAAGAAGCAATGGCAGCTTGGTGTATAGGTGTGAACTCGGGTGGTGGGTCTTTACCGTTTCATCTGAGTGTGTTGGGACAGCAGTAATCAAAAGCTACATCAAGGGTCCTTTTCTGCATCCTTAAACTGATGTTATTTGTCAGGTAGGTAACTCCATACTAGGCATGCTAGTAATTCTAACTGAAAAAGCCAGTCGAAAGCCAGGACTATTTTGAACTAGCTCGTTAGCAATATGTCCTAGCAGCACCACTTGCTGGTAATCTAAGCTATTTGAAAAAGTCATCACGGAATCTTAATTTTCCTGTAGAAAGAAACTGAACGGTCGGCTAAGCCAGTCTTTATCTTAGGAGCAAGAGGCCCAGGGCCAGCGGCAGTTTGCCTAGCGTCACGATCTAGTAGTCAAAATCAACTTTACTGAAAATGAGTAAACACAGCCATGCTTTCTAAATTTGTCTTCATGGTAAAAGGCTGGAAGGAAGGTGAGAGAGGCCGACCTGGAAGATGGGGGGCTTGATGGATGTTCCTGGTTAATTACAATAAAATCAAGCAGATGTGTTAAAATAGGGGATTAAGTGGGGGTTTGAGAAAGACAAGCACCAGAACTAGACATAAAGGATGGAAGGAAATCAGCTCTAGGTTTGCCAGCCGAAGATGCTAGTGTTAGTCATCTGAGAGGACAAACACCAGCCACGTCTCTGATGGCCAAACCCTTCCACCCAGAATCTCTGCGAGGAATCTTGGCTTTTGACTCAGAAACAGCCCCCATGTGTCTACCGTTCAGTCTACAAATTTCCCAGAGTTAGCTTGCAGGCGTGTGTCTAGAACTTGTGAAAGGAACTGGAAATGCAAGAATACCAAGAACAGAAAGCCGCAGGGCCGTGGGGCTGTTTATAGGTGGGTTTGCGATGGAGACCCTGGGAATAACACACACGTTTGGGGCCTGGGCAAAGGGGAGATGGAGACTCTGTTGATGGGTGTGATTCACTGTGGGTGGATTGGAAGACGCTTTGAGAGATACTGAGGTGATCATGAAGCATGCTGGGAGAGTGGCCAGCGCAGGCTGTGGGAAAGGCCTGGGGTTAAGGGAGGTAGTGAAGGCTTATCGTCCTAGAGATAGGAGGCTGAGAGGTGTTCTGTTGTTTTTTGTTTCATTTTTGTTGTTGGTTTTTTCTGAGAGAGAGAGTCTCATGTAGTCCAGCCTGACCTGGAACTTACTTGTAGCCGTCGATGATCTTGACTGTCTGATCTTTCTGCTTTAATTCCAAAGTGCTGGGATTACAAGTGTGTGCTGCCACTCTCTGCTTACGCGGTGCTGGAGACGGAGCCCAGAGCATCCTGCATGAGAGGCAAGCGTGCGCTCCAGACTGAGCTGTCTTTAGCTTACAGAGTTTGGGGAACTACCCACATTTTAGGTGTCAGAGCAGTACAAAGCCAACAGGGAGAAGGTACGTGGTGTAGCCACCACGGATCTGAAGACGAGACTTGCAGATGGAAATTAGTAATGGATGTCAAAAGCTGTGACAACCAGATTCATAAAGACTAACAATAAATAGCAGTAGCATAATAAACTAATTAAAGAGTAACTTGGCAAGACCAAAGAAAGAGGAAAGGAAAGAACAAATGGATATGAAGAGGGAGGAGGGGAAGGCTGTAGAAAAGATGAGAAGACATGGACCTGTTGACAGGTGCTTCAGGATCTGGCCAGATACCCGAAGGAGCGGCACCTCAGCTCTCATGGAGCAGGAGTGTTTGAGGGGCCAGGGGCCTTCCATGTTGCTGAGGCACAGGTTAGAGGGCAGCGAGGCAGTGTCGTGAGTCGTGTCCTCCCCTCCCCCTCCCCCCACCCTCACCCACCCACCCCACCCCCGCCTCCCAGAGCAGTGAGAAGTGCTACCTCTCCCCAGATGGGGAG